AGTTAATTAAAATAGAGATGATTTATTTCGTTTAAATAATTAGTATAAAGATATCGTTTTTTTTTCTTTCTGTAATTAAAAATGATCGTGTTTACACTTCAGTTTTATATTAAATAAGATTCTAAACAGATTTACTAATAAAGGGGGAAGGTAGATGCAAATTATTCACAAAGGAATAAACTGTGAGAATTTATACTAAGTAAAATCTTCAAGAATGCAACCTTGTTTAAATAAATAAGGATGCATTTATCTTAATCATTAAAATCTCGTTCCACAGGGAAGAAAAAATCTAACTCGTACCAGGTATAGAAAAGAATAATTGCAACACACGATTTGTACTTTTTCGTAGAGCTACAGGATCTTACTCAACACGCATAAGATAACAAGAATAATATCAATACTTCGACATTTTGAGTTATGATGACAAAAACAATTATTCTTTTTATTCATATATCCCAGAAGGACTTCAAGAATGATTTTCAAAAATTTCGATTCCCGTTTCCCAGCAAATCCATAACAAAAAAAAATCAAGCAATGTCCTTATTCAATATTAAAATTCACGATATTAAAGGAAGTTATTTACTTCATACGCGATTATCAGATATACTTCTATTTTTTCCCCGGAACATTGCGCGTATGACATATTTAATTACTTTTCACTGGCTAAGTTCTCATTTTTTTTTTTAAAAAAAAAAAGGGGGAGAGAGAAAATATAAACAACCCTTTAATATATTCACACCCGTATCAATAAATGTGTCGTTTTTAAGTACTGATTTATATAATTTTTTTGTGTTAAAAGAGTTCAACACACTGATATGCTTGGATTATGTATTACGAATTTAATTCGTGAAATATCACAAAATCGGTTTAAATTATTTTAGTTAATTAATCAACAATTTAAGAATGTAAGTCGAATTTCTGAAATTCAATTGTAATTCCTTCTACTTTCAATTTATCGCGGTATTACCAACAAATGATGTAGATGCGGCACTCCCCCACACTCTGTAAAAAAGAGAATTAAGGAAAATAAAGAGGATCCCCCCATTTAAAATACGGTCATATTCCAAAGGGTTTTAAACGAGAATTAGGGGTTTTCAGAGGTTATATTAAAAGTACTTGAAGAATGCAAATTAAACTATTTAACAGAGAAGGCTACACATATTAAATAAGATGTTTTAAGATTTCTAAACACGTGAAACTACCGTGGATATTTTTCCAATTAGTCGGTAAATTACGACACCCCCTCGCTTGGCTCGTTGAGTAACGGAATCGACAAAAGATGAGCCCCAACCCATTGCAATTCGTATAGAAGAGAATCAAAAGAATACCAATTTCTAAATCTAAGTCAAAGAGAACAATACGACATCAAGTTGCCTGAGTCAGCAGTTTTTTGTAGCAGCGATGTACTGTTACCTCGTGATCTCCATATAATAGGTCTTGAACTAAATGCATTCGTCTTACATCGCGAGCGATGATATTAATGCAATCAGTTTGAAATCAAAGAAGAAGCTACATCCAACTAAACCCGAGGGAAACAAGGAAAAGGAGAGTGATACTGAAGGAAGATAAGCTTGAAAAATGCAATACTTCTTAAAGTTATGAACCATTTAGTAGTAGTTGTAAATAAGTTGGAAAAAAGATTGCTATCAGGTAAAATGCGAAATAGATGTAATATTCCAATTAGTTATTTTGAATTTTGCTTTTGAAATCGAGATATGGAAACTTCAAGGTTCAATTTATAAATGTAAATTGCGCAACAACTGTATTCGTATGGTAGCATTTTTTCCAGAATGTTTTATACCCGCGCGAAAGTTTCAGGTTTTGTGTAAAACCAATACATATTAGCAAGCGACGGGAAACTAAAATCTTAACACCAATTTAAATATTAATTGTTACACATGCATCATCTCATTTGACCTTATTTTCAAAGCAATTTGCCCTTCATAACAATAATTTTACTATAACTGATTGATCGTACATTAATATCACACTTAGAAGCAACACGATGGCTATTGGCAGAATGACCAAGGGTCGGTCAAAAGATAAGAACTACACCCTATCTGGAACCCCATTCTCCAAACTTCCACATCACGCCAACGGGAAGAACACCAATTCAATGTAACCTGCATCAACCCCATTACACGACAGGTTTTTAGTCGCATCGGGATTTGACTCCCCGACTCGACAGAACCGACGCCGGCCGCGATTTCGCGACTATGACCACTAAAAAAACACGGACACTAGTTCAACTATAACAATGAATGGTTAATTAATTAAACTGAGAGAATTAGATTCAAGCTATTAAATAGGTTTGAAAGTAATTATGAAGAATTTGTTTATTAAGTGAGTGAATGAATATATGAAGGTTATTGGCGCAAGAGCCAAATTTGGCTATGCTGCGCCAAACAAGATTTAACTGTGAAAAAATTGGGGAAAAAAAAATCGGTTGACAAGAAGGAAGGTCGAAAATAGAGAAGGATCGTTAGGGTTACCCGTGTTTACCTAAGACAGTAAACCCCATGGGAAAGAAAAAGACCACTAAGGTGCCTTGGGGTCATCCTAAAGAAGGCAAGTCCCTGACGTCTGATATAATTCTCAAGGGCAAGGCGCCTCTTATTTGTTTATTACAGTCGGACTGCAAACGTTTTAGAGTAAGTTAGAAGTCCAGCTAAACAGAAAATGAAACATAAAATTTAAATGAAATCAAAATAAAACCACAATCGTATTTAACAGAGCTCCACATTAGCACCCAAAAACTCAATTTCTCAATCCTCAACGAAGTATTATTCTAAAGTGAGTCGAGTGAAAAAAAAAAAAATTAAATCTTACTAATTGCAATAGCATTAATAGACGAAAAGGCTCCACCAAAGTAAAATGTCGTATGCATAACAAGAAAGGTTTGAATACAAACATTACAGAATTCTGCGCGTGTAGACGTTACGTCTAAATTACTGAACCGAATATAACAAGAACGCGCCCCTCCCCCATGAAGAAATGAACCGTCAAGAACAAATGCAGATTTTTACTTCCGGGGTTGCAGCAACCGAGCTTGTTTCTGATGACAAGAAACAGAGGCTAGCGATAAATTTTAAGGGCGAAAACAAAACCCTTTTTAAAAACAAGACACGAAAAGGGAACATATCTACGTACAAATTAACGGATTAAAAGTACATTTTTTTCTCTTCCGGTTAGGGCTTGGCTTGGATTTGTTTTATTAACATCGCACTAGAAGCAATACGAGGGCTATTGGCGACGGACCTCGTAATTTTGAACCTCGGTCAAGTGACGAGGATGACACCGGAGCTGGCACATCCATCTCCTACCTTCCACACCACACCAACGGGAGGGCTTTGGGTGTAGACATATTTAACGTGCATCAGCCCCGGCTACACGGCGGTTTTCGGTTTGGAAATCAATTTATTAGCGTCTATATGTCCGATGAAATTACGATGTCATTTACAAGTATGATATACAAATCCTTGATCACAAGGCATTTGAGTAATGCGTTCCTTAGTCTTAAGACGAAGTTTTTTCTTCAGCCTTGACTTAATTATGCAATTCGTAACTACGTACTTATGCTAAGGAAGATGATATGAAGACGATTTAAAAAGTACTTGTATTTGAAGACAGATGGCATCATTAAGGGAAACAGCTGTTACCATTGGGTGCGGCTATCTGTTTAACGGAGCCGAAACAAATTTGACATTGATTCTTAAGTTAGTGTTGATTTGGTAGTCATTTGCTACCAAATCAAAATTTGATTGCTGCAACGTCGAGTTGTCGACGTCAGTGAGATCTGGATTCTTCATTATACACCGGAAATGAAACAAAAATAAAAAAGTTGGGGAATTTATTCCAAAAAAGGCGAAGATGGTCACATCGGCAGAAAAAATTATGACGAAGAATTTTCAAGGTACGAAAGGCGTCATTATCACGAATACGAGATATTGGATTGTACTGGTTTTATTAACACCACATAAAATCATTACGAGGGCTATTGGCGATGGACCTCGTAATTTTGAACCTCGCCCAAGTGACGAAGACGATACCTGAGCTGGGACCCCCTCTCCGAACTTTCCATGCCTATGGGATGACCTTGTCCCTCGATAGATTTAACGTGCCTCAAATCCTGCTACACGGTGGGGGTTTAATGGTACCAAGACTCGACAAAAACCGATGACCGCAAGTCCGTGATATTGGCCACTAGGCTACTGCGGCCACCACGAATACCTGAGGCTTAGACAGCTGTTCAGTGAGTCATGATATTTGCAAAAAACAAACCATTTTCGATGTGACGAACACCATATTTTGGAATTTCTACAAATTCCTTGAAAGATCATCGTACTTTCCAATTTCGAAAAAAAAAAAACCAACAACAACAACTTTTACTTTGTAAATAAATTTCATTAACTACTTTTTTAATGGGAACAAAAACTGAAATGAAAAACATGAATTCATGTATAAGTTAGTGTACGACTACCTCCTCCCCCAAAGGAAAGGGCCGCATTGGAAAAAGACGAGTTGTTTGGGTCGCACAAAATAAATCTAACACTTAAGACATAATAGTTCTTGAACATATATATATATATATATATTAAGAGTAATTTAAACTTAATAAATTATGATTTTTGTATTACAAAGGCTGCAAAAAGGAATTAGATTGGCACTTTATACATCTTATGACATTGTACATATGACATTTTGTTATAAATTCAAACATGAATATCTTTAACCTTCATTCATTTATATGAATATCTTTTTATTCATATAAACGAATAATGATAGCTAGAAATTATAAATCAATATGATATTTGGCATCAATATCTGATTTGATTGAAGTGGTTTCAATATTTAGGGGTTCTCAAAATGTTCATCTGTTATTCAGCTCTCTTAGATTGCTTCACTTTTGAAAATAGTTGCTCTACTAGTTAATATCTACTGCAGAAAAAGACCAAATTGCCAAAGAACCACGACAATTTTATAATGAGAATTTTTTGTAGTGTCCAACAAGGGAATCGAACCCATGACGCAAGATTAAGAGTTTTGAGCTCAAGCTCAATTGACAGAGCTAGCCGGGTGAAAATTAAGTCATATCCTAAACTGATACAGGAGGGGGGGGGGGTGAAGAAAAAATTACGAAAATTTTCGCAGCATTACCATAAATTTCAAAATATTCTACAGCTTACTTACAGGTATTTGTTACGTTACTAATCTTCAGATCCTGCACTGAGTTTTTAATTAACTTAGCCTAACTTAACTTCTGAGTTTTTAATTAACTTCCGAACACGTGGAGGGGGAGAGAATTAGTTGGCGACCATGGGAGCGGGTGGCTGTTTCGAGCCCTGGACCAGTGAGTCCGAAGAAAAGTTGACCGGCAGCTTTTTGCTGCGCCCTAACCAACTGTGCTGAAAAAGGCGTCTCTCATAAGCTAGTTAGGAAGGCGTTTTAACTTTTGCGTAGTTGTTGATGAGAGTCACGCTGCATACTTCCCCTCCATAACAATCATGATGATACGAAGAGAAACATTGGTATCTGCAGAGGAGGTTGCTTTCTTCAGCTATCACTACAATTAATACACATTCCTATCTGTTGAATTGAATTTTGCTTGGAAATGTTTCCATTTGAATCAATAGCTGTCTCAAATTGAGTGACGGGTCTCGTCGACATAGGCGCCAGAGGCGGAATGTCACTAGTCGTGATTTATGTGCATTTGGCTTAGTTAGACAAACAGAGGCAAGTGTTTTGTGCCGGGGGGGGGTATATGCAATCAGTAGTTATAGGCTGTGCTGCCATCCAGTGATTAAATCCTGAGTCACTAATTCGGCGGCAGAGATTTTCCGCACCCGTGGAATGGGAGAGAGTTAATTTTTGACTTTGGGAGCCGACGGCTGTTTCGAACCCTGGACCAGTGGGTCCGAAGAAAAATTTGACGGATGGCTTTTAGCTGCGCTCTAACCAACTAGGTTGAAAAAGACACCTCGTTTTGGCTAGTTAACAAGACGTTTTAAATTCTGGCATTGCTGTTGAAGAGAGTCACTGCAAGCTCTATTTCTATGTGCAACATATTCTTGTTATGTGATACAGTAAATAAGACAAATTACCACTTCAACAACAGCAAATAAAACTTTTATTTGAATACGTTCATTAAGGTCGTTTGGTTATGTTATTCGTTTTCCATGCATTGTTATAAACAATTTGAATGAATCCTAAGTTATCAAGAAAAGTAATATTATCATCCAAATGGGATATGATTATTACCTAATATAGAAATTTAAAATTTTTTCGTAGGTGATTCATATTAATAAAGTCTATCAGAAGAAAGCAATTTCCCCCCCAAAACTATAAAAACGAATTTAATCGGTAAAACAGCATTGTAAAAATTTTTAAATACTTTTCAGCTATCCTAATTAATTAGAAAATATGTCTTCAAGAAATATGGAAAAATAACAAATATTATACCCCATTTTATATTTAAATAAAAAAAATTACATACTACTCTTATATAAATGAAATATTCACGTTCATATGCATGTACTAAAAATTTAAAATTGGATACCTTATTCTTTGCAACAATTTAAATTTTATCAAGCCTCTTAATTGCCAAAATTTGGAACAATTATTGTGTGACTGAATTAAAAATCACATATGAATATAATTCAAATATTTATGATTTGCTTTGATTGAGAGGTTACATAAATGATAAAGAATCAAACAGGGAAAAAAAAAAAAAAAAAAAAAAAAAAAAAGAATTTCTAATTTTAAAAACAAAGAGTTTAAAATTGATCTAATTTATAATTGGCATTCAAGTAAAAGAATTTAAATCAGTATCATGTAATCTAACTACTGTACTCTACACCTATAAATTGAAAAAGAAAAAATGTATTAGATGGATATCTATCGAATAAACAAATTAAATATATCACAATTTTTTTTATCTTTTTTTTAATCTCATGACAGCCCCAAGGACAAATTCGAACCTAAGCGAACAATTAGATAACAATTAAATTTATATAATAGATATGGCACCTTTCATTGCAGATACTGTGAATTCGTGAAAAAAATTTGCTTCAAAAAGTATGCAAAATGGTAAAAACAAAGAAATTACAGAAATTTTTGTTTAGATGCACTACATATTTCCCTTTCTTTGTTAAGATTTGCACTGAAAATAAGAATGAAATAAATGTGAATTTTAAATTCGAAAGCAGTATTACATTGGTACTCAAGTGCGGTATATTACCAATTTTTAAATATTTAACTTCAAATTATTATATTCTATTTGAACCAAATAATCAAAATAAATAAAATAAAAATAAATTGAAATTGGGGGGGGGGGAAGGAATTGTTTTGCTGTACACAACCAAGATGAATAAAACAATGTTTTTTTTTATGATTTTGTAAAGAAATAGCAAATATGCACATTATAGGAATTATTCGAGTGGAACTAAATTTAAAAACTCCACAAAAATGATGTAATTCTAGAATGGAATTCCCTCACCCCCCCTAATAGCTACACAATTTCTCTCAATACATATATAATCTCTCAAAATTCTTATTTTTTAGAAATTTTATTTGAATATACAAAGAAAAAATAATGTAAGTTTCAGAATATTTTTGGACAAAGTAGTGCTTTAAAACATATCAGTCTTAGCAAAATTAAACTATTATAAGGAGAGAGAGAGAGAACAAATCTAAAACATTTAAATATTAACTGATTGTAATAAATTGACTGGTACTGATTCTGTTTAATTTTGAAAATGAAAATATCAGGAATACGATAACTTCAGTGAATTAGAAATAAAGTTATTAATTCTTTTACTTTCAAATAAAAATATCTGCTATATCAACAGAAATGAAATTAAATTCAATATGATTGTAAAAAATTTTGTGTTTAACTTATTTTAAATTTTAAATCCTTTTGAAAATCATTAAAAATTATTTAACAAAAGATTTGGAGTAGTTAAAAGGGAGGGAAAAAAAGAAAAAGAAAATTCAAAATACATGATATAAATATGAAGAAAATTTGATTTCTATGTTTTCAGAAGTAATACCACTATAGAAAATATGTTGACACAGAACTAATTAAAATGAATTAAAAGGGCAATCGTGCTATGAAGAAATTTTTTGGAAGTATTTTATCAAATAAAATTACAATAAAAAAGTTTTACAAACATTTTAGAGAGAGAAAAATTCCTTTTTTATTTCACAAAAATGTCCTGTTTTTTTCTTTCATTTTATTATTTGTCTACATGCATTGTAATCACAGAACGGGGAGATATACTTCAGATATGAAACAAACATAGCAATGAAAACAAAAATAATCTGCAAATGTTAAAACAATTACTAAATTTATAAAACTACTAAAAATGTTTTTTGAAAATATGCATAATTTTTATACATTGAAGTTAAAAATCTTGATTAAAAGAAATTTTAAAGTAAGATAATATTATATTTAAATATTTCTCTGAGGTTTTAAAAGCTAATATATATAATTTTTATGTGATAATACAATTTTAGATTAATTTTATATTTTATTCACTTTAATTTGAAGTTTTTGTATTGTACCAGAGGCAGGTAATAAAACTTTCAAGGTAAATTATGGCATATAAAACAGAAAATGACAAACAAAAACATTATATAATTATAAACATGTAAAAAAAAAAGATTAGTAGAGGGAACTTTGTAAAATTTTTACCTCAAAAATATTCTTCCCTCTGCATTGAGAAGATAGTTGGTACTGTTGAATAGCTGCATTATAAGACTCATGTCCTTAGAAGTGTAAGTTTATTTTTTATTAATGTCGAACTAGAAGCAACATTAGGGCTATTGGCAACGGACCTCGTAATTTTAGGAGTGTAAGAGGGTAGAGCAAAAAGTCCCAATGTTAGGAATGGGGTAACTCACAGCAGTATTGTCTACAGCTCGTTTTTCTTTTTTCTAACTCACTACAATACTCTCTACTGGTTGTTTTTCTTTTTTCCCAGGAAGTTCATGAGTATGACGCCTTTTGTTTCCCAAAAAATCGTCTCCATAATTTTTCTGGTCAATGAGACAGTCTCCTTCATTTTTGAAGCATACTCACCAGAAGAAACCGATTGTTTTGATTATTTCTTGATTTCTGGTGTATAATGCATTCAGGTCTTAATGATGCTGACAACTTGATGCAAAATGACAATTACAACTCATCATGGTAAGAATCAAATTTTTATTTTGCAGAAAATGTCTGCCAAAGCAGTACAAATATATGAATCAGTGTCAAATTTGTTTTGATGCCATTTAACAGATATTTTTTAAACCATCTTCATAATTAGATGAAGTATTGAGGTCAGAAAAGAATGACATGATTTGGTTGAAGTCTTGTTAGAATTTGTATAGTAAAAGGTGTGCCCTTTAAAAGTGATGCTGAGTCAGTTTTTATAGGGAAGAACACTCTGTATTACCTCGCTATCAAACAAGTGTCCTCCTTTAAGTGTCAAATTAACTTAAATATGAAGATCGTTTTGTTAATTTGATTTTTCTTATTAAATTAGATCATAAAAATCTATTTTTATAATTTGTCAAAATAACTGTATAAAGATTATTTCATTTTTTTAAAATCTCACTCCGATTTAATGTGAATTTAATGTGTAATACACATATATCATTCATACACATGTAAATATAAAAGATGTACAACCCAATAAGTATTAATGATAAAAATAATTTTTTTTAAAAAAATGCAATGGCCCTATGAGAAATCTAAAGACATTTGTGTGTAACAAATGAAAAATAACAGGCTATTAACTATTTTGTAACATATTCAATCCTCAAACTTCATGTGCCATGCAATTATTCTATGTTATTAGGGCAATATAATTCTAAAATAAATTTTAAAGACCATTTTATGCAGCACATTTTACTGTTTTTTTTCTTCCAATATCAATTTCTAATACTACAGCTCTTTTTAACAACATGATAAATAACATCCGTGATTTTTTTTATTAACTTAGATCATATGTCTAATTGCATTACATAAATTTGGGAAACTGAATTCCTCTTATTAATCCAGTTAGCTTTTAAATCTCTATTTACGAGTATTTTA